TCAGAGTCCTCTCCCTTCCTCCAGACCTTCCTTTAGAAATGGAACATCAGGGGACCAGCAGTTGGCATAATGGCCATGTCACCGGACTCCCATGTAGTCGACCACGGTTCACGTCCCAGACCCGGCAGCCTAAACTCACACCAGGCGCATGTGCATGTGTGCCTGAGATCCTGAGAGGAGAATGAAGGAGAAGGGATTGTGGCGTTGCCATCCCCCCTGGGGTGGGGGGTGATTTCTCACTTTCTATCTCTCTGTCTCTCTCTGTTTTTCTGGCGAGCGCACGCATCCTATAGCAAAAACCTCTCCAAAAAAAAAGAAAGAAAGAAAGAAAGAAAGAAAGAAAGAGAGAGAGAGAGAGAGAGGGAGGGAGGGATCCAGAGAGGAAAACAAAATAGAAGAAAGAAAAGAGCATAGGAAACATTTTTGAAATAATTAAGTAGGCTAACATATTTGTCATTGCCATCCCAAAAGGGCAGGAAAAAGTAGAGGGGGAAAAGAAACAATTCTTTGGAAAATATAATGGCTGAGAATTTCTCACAATTAAATAAAAGTATTCAAAAATTTCTATGAGCCCAAAGTAATATAAATACACAGAAAACTGTATTTAGACTCACCGCAGTAAAACTTCTGAAAACTAAAGGCAAAGGTAAAGATCTTAAAAGCAGTCAGAAAAGGACCCAAGACACACCAATAATAAATTAAGAGTAGGATTTTAAGCAGGAACTATAGATCAAGGAAGCAAGGTTAGCCTGAAAATGTTGGGGAACAAACAAAAACCAAAATCAAGACCTAACATCTCGATTTTAAACCAAGCGAAAATATCCTTCCAAAGTCAAAGTAAAATAAATGCATTTTTAGACACCAAAAGATAGGGAAATTATTTGCCAGAAGACCCATATTATAAGAAATAGCTGCAGCAATTCTTCATCCTGAAGGGAAATGATCTCTGAAAGCCTGTTGCTACAGATAGAACACAGGGTACAGGAAAAAGGATCCTGACCTAAGGGCAATCACTAAAAGAATGATACAAAGAGATATGAAAACGAAAACGGTAATAGAAAAGATAAAATGGAGTAATTTGGAATAATTGATTAAAATATTTCAATGGTTGCCCATTTCTCATAAAATAAAACTGAAATTCCTTAGCATAGTACACTAGGTTCTCCATGGTCTGGCCCTCCTCTACCTCTCTAGCCTAGTTCTCCTTCCATCTCTCCTAGAACCTAGTCATTGAGCTATAGGTAGCTCCCCCAGGATGCCATGTTATTCATACCACCTTATATTGGCACAGGCCACTCATTTACCAGTCCTCCCTCTCTCTCTTTTATTTATTTATTTTTTAAAAAGTTTTGCTATAGAGTGAGTGTGCTTCCCAGAGGGACAGAGAGAGATAGACAGAAAGCAAGAAATCACCCCCCCACACACACACATAGGGATGGCCACCCCACCATCCCTTCTTTAGGCATACATGCACATGTGCCCAGTGTGAGTTTCAGCTACCACGTCCAGGACTCATGGGAGACCAGCAACAAACATGACATCATTTGCAGCTCTCCCCCAACCCCCACTTTTCCCCTCTCTTTTTTAACCTGGCTAAAAGCAACTTAATTTCTAATATCTAGCTCAGGCATAATCTGGTTTCTATAAAAAAAAAAAAAATCTCTGAATTTCTGTGTGCCCTCTTAGTATTCAGTGTTTACCTGTATCGTAGCCTTTATTGTAGAACAGTCATTTATTTACTTCTCTACTTCCCCAACTAGGTTTCCAGGTCACTCAAGACTGGGCATCTGCATCTCTGTGGACACTTCTCTGTGTCTGGTATGCAACTCAGATACTGGTACATCAATATCCACCTTAGGAATGGCTAAATACATGAATGCACAAACACCCTTTCAGAACCTGCTGGCTGAAGACTGTGATATACAGCATGAGTCAGAGTCCTCTCCCTTCCTCCAGACCTTCCTTTAGAAATGGAACATCAGGGGACCAGCAGTTGGCATAATGGCCATGTCACCGGACTCCCATGTAGTCGACCACGGTTCACGTCCCAGACCCGGCAGCCTAAACTCACACCAGGCGCATGTGCATGTGTGCCTGAGATCCTGAGAGGAGAATGAAGGAGAAGGGATTGTGGCGTTGCCATCCCCCCTGGGGTGGGGGGTGATTTCTCACTTTCTATCTCTCTGTCTCTCTCTGTTTTTCTGGCGAGCGCACGCATCCTATAGCAAAAACCTCTCCAAAAAAAAAGAAAGAAAGAAAGAAAGAAAGAAAGAAAGAGAGAGAGAGAGAGAGAGGGAGGGAGGGAGGGAGGGAGGGAGGGAGGAAGGAAGGAAGGAAGGGAGAAAAATGGAACATCGGATCTCAACCTCAATGCATTCCAAACTCAATTTATTCCATTTCACTGGAGTCTTTGTGTCAAACTTGGGTGCAGCCAACCTGGCATCATGTGACTTCTGCCCTTTGCTCATCTCTTCATTCCTTCCGTCACTTTCTCGGGGTTGACTCCCTGGTCTCTTCCTTGACCCACCTCGGATGTGACTCTTGCTCTGAATCCCTCCTATGCCCCAGGCAGAAGGAAATGGACGGTCTTCCTCTGTGCTTAAATCTCAAATGCCATACATTCGGCTCTCATCAATAGTGTGCATCTGTCTCTCTCCCAAGCTGGTGAAACTTTAAAGATGGAAATATTTTCATTTGCAGAAAAGGTGAGTGAAAATATTAAAAAGGGGAGGAGGAAAATGAAGAAAAGCTAAAGAAAAAAATAGCAAAAAGCAAACATCCTTAAAAGCCGTGTAAAATGACATAAAGCAATCCAGAGGGAGGAAAAACATTCTCTTTGAAAATGTACTAGTCTCTCAGGTGTTTCCACCCTCTGTCACTCTCACTTCCCCCACACATATCCTCCCAGCTCATAAGGAGAATTCCTCTGAGGCTCCCTCCTACTGCAGACTATCAAAGGCTCCCCTATTCGCAAGGTTCTTACTGCCTAGGAGAGCTATTTGTGGCTCTCACAGTTTCCAGCTTCTGCACATGCCCTGTCGCCTATTTATCTTCAAGTTTGACTCTGCTCCAGCTCAGCTTCCTCTTGCATCTGAACTATCTTTGTGACTTTGGCCTGGCTCTCTAGATTTTATTTTTCCTTTTTAAATTATTGCTAGAACGTCCATGTGCTCTCAAGAGAGACAGAGAGAGAGAAAGTGGGAGGAAGTACCCCCTGATGGGGTTGGTTATGTCACAATTTCTTCTCCTCCATTTCTCCACACTTCCAGGATCTGGAGCATGCATGCATACGTGCTCAGCTTGTTCAAGCCACCAGCCAGGCCCAGACTCAACCACGTAGTTGGCGATGTGGGATCTAGCTCCATTAACCACCAGGCCACAGACTAGACCTGAGTCTTTTTGATTGGTTATCTCCCTAGATTCTCTTCTGTGTGTGACTCCTGAGGACACAGTAAGTATTCCTCATATTTATTCTTAAAGGTGAATCATTCTAGTGAAAATTAAAAGAATCATAGGGTGATAGTCTGAAAGCCCTATCAGATGCACAGGTTATTTAAACCTCTAAAATTTATGCTTCATGTATTTTTCAGAGAAATAACAGAACCTGCAGATGACCCTCACAAGAACAAGCCAAAAATTACAAATTTAGCAGAGAAACTCTTTAACAAGGTAAAAGAAGCTGATAACAATTAGATTAGAAACTGTGGTAATGGGGAATGACAGTTGTATCTTGCTAATAAGCTTATTTGTTATAAAAAAAAAAAAAGAAAGAAAAACACAAAGCTGTTGACCAGTTATTTTCTTTTTCCACAGGAAACTAAGCGAAGAGAAGAGAAACTTCTGTAGGTGTAGACATAAAAAAAACACCTTCCTACTGAAAAGATTATTATTTCTCAAGGATGATTTATTTATTTATTTTGAGAGAGAGATTTTTGCTATCGGACGTGTGCACTTGCTGGAGAGACAGAGAGACAGAAAAAGAGAAATCATCGCCTCCCAAGGGGGGCAATGGCCACACCACTATCCCTTCTCCTCCATTCTTCTCTTGGGATTTTGGACACACACACACACACACACACACATGCACCCAGCATGAGTTTTAAGCTGTCAGGTCTGGGATCTGAACTGTGTTCAACTACGTGGGGGTCCAGCGATGTAATCATTACCCCATCTGCTGGTCCGTCAAAGATGATACTAAACCATGTCTCAAAGGATTTGAGAAGTTGAGAAATCACAGATCTCAGATGGTGGGGGTGTCATTCTGACTTGATGACTGTTACCAGTTGAAAACTTGCTCTTTTCATTAGATATATTGAATGAGCTTCCCTGTAGCAGCCACATACTTTCTGAGTGTTTCACTGAGAATCAGGTAGGGCTGCTCGTGTTTCTCTGGGACCCTTCTTGGTGGGAAATACTTCTGTACAGGAATTATTCATCACATTCTTAGAAACTCAGAAGACTACCACAGTCTGAAAAATATTTTGTGCATATTGTTTCCAAATCTTCAGAGATACTCACATATTCAAAGTCCAGCTTTCTTGTCCTCTCATCTTACTAGCCTAGTAGCGCAGCTGGAAGCTTCTAAAACAATACACTCTAAGTGGCCTCTATTTATAGTGTTTCACTGAGACGAGCAAAGCCAGATTGCCAGACACCCTGTTCTGAAGCAGTGTCATGATGGCTCTCTCTCTGGTATCAATTTTGAAATGTAAGATGATTTGGTGGGGAAGGTTCTCACTCATGGCAGATTCATGACACTTGTTCATGACATGCTGGCTTCAGAAAAGTGACAAAATCAAAATATTCTTTCATGTATTTCTGCCTGTAGCCTGTGCTTTCTGAGAGCACAGACCAGCTGCTGAGTTATAAATCTGAACAGTCAAACCACACACTTCATTTCACTGTAAGCCATTAGGCAAATACGTGTTGTTTTCTACATTTTTTTTTAATTGGCTGAGTTCCCTAAGAGAAATGGAGGTGCATGACAGCTGAGGACTTACTTTCAGAGAGTGATGGAAGCACGGGAATTTCCGGTTGTTCTTCCACCGGCTCTTCTCTAAAATATTTCTCAGGGTCGAGAAGAAAAGCGGGTTTATTCACTTCAGGCAGCTCTTGCAGGGTTCCAATGCGTAATGACCTAAATGCACCTTCACACCAGCAGATTTCAGAGAACGGGAGAAAAGGACAGTATCACTAATTCCTTGGAAGGAGCTAGTGCATTTCCAAGTTAACTTTTAAAAGTTTAACCTTCCTCTTGTTTAGCTGGTACAGCTGCAGTGATCAGCAAACCCTATAAACACAGCTGTTCAACATAAACCCATGGTCCTTTTCAGACAAAAAGACAAAAAGGAGCTCAAGGCTTCTCATTCATTTGTTTTCTATTTTGTATTCTTTTGCCATCTTCCCTTGAAAATGAATATTTTGCAAGCTTTGGAAAAGCTCCAGTTTCTCTTTTATCTACAAGAAAATTGTATCCTTTGTGAAATGGAATCTGTTAGAATTTTTTTTTTGTATTTAATTTAACAAAACATCTGAAATTTTGAATTGGTAGGTACTTTTCCATCCTGCTACAATGGAAACCAGAACTGTGTTATTCTGTTTACCGTGCACACAGCAAGAGGATAGGAATCTATTTTAATCATGCCTTTAAAAGCAAAGTCTTGGATAAAGTAAAGAAAGTTTTCCTTTTTGCTTCATGTGATAAGTGGACGATGCTCTAGAAATCTACCAAAGCTTAATCCAAGATAGGATTTTACGCTTGCTTGACTGTGCTCTGCTGAACTGCCCTTTTGTCATGGTGGCGGCTCAGTGCCTAGGAAAAGAAACCAGAACTAGTCATGTGCTGACAGTCTTATTAAAATGGAGAGTGTTGGGGGTAAACAGGTAGGGTGGTGTTTAAGGCACTGGACTCCTACATGGCCGACTGTGGTTTGGATCCCAGACCGGGAGCTTGAAATTCACACCAAGCATATGTGTGTACGTGCATACCCAACACCTTAGGAGAACGAAGCAGAAGGGATTGTGGAGTGTCCATCCTTCCCTGCAGGGTGAGTTCTCACTTTCCCTCTCAACAGTCTCTCTCTGTCTCTCTCCAGCCAGTGCCTGTGCCCCATGACAAGAACCTAAAAATAAATAATAAAGCACTAAAGTCAGCAGGTGGCATGGAGGTTAAGGCGCTGGATCTCGCATAGTTGACTGCATGGCTGGAATCCCAGACCCAGAGGCCTGAAAATCATGGCGGGCACGTGTGCATCTATGCCCAAAATCCCAAGAAGAGATTGGAGGAGAAGGAAGTGTGGTGTGGCCATCCTCCCTAGGGACTGATTTCTCACTCTCCCTCTCACTCTGTCTCTCTATGGTAAGGGTAAGTGCCAGATAGCAAAAACAAAGACAAAAACAAAACACTACAAAACAAAGCAGAAATATCCACAGAATGCTATGTATCACCCCCAGCTCCTGATGTACTGGTTCTAGGGGAGGGAGGGGTGTGGGTCCTAGCGTTTACATTATTCGTAGGTTTTAGTTGACATTAAATGGTTCTAGGCCAAGGGACAACTCTGAGAATCAAATATGCTATGTCAAGTTAAAGAAATCTTCCCAACTTGTAAGGTGTTACTCCCTCTACACAGACGTGGAAACTGAAGCTCAGGATGCTATAATAACTCGTCGGACTTTACAGAAGTTACTGGTAAATGGCAGACAATAGACTTAAATCACACATTTAACTCCACAGATTGTGCACCAGTCATAACAACAATAATAGGGGCCGGCAAGTGGCTTGGTGGTTAAGGGCACGCTGGACTCCCACATGGCCAACCACAGTTCAAGTCCTGGACCTGGCAGCTGCCTTTTCATTTTCTCATTCTCTCTCTCTCTCTCACTCTGTCTCTATCAGGTCAGATTAAAATATAAAGAAATATGGGGTCAGCAGGTGGCGTGGTGGTTAAGGCTCTGGACACTCCCACACGGCCAATCACAGTTCAAGTCCTGGACCTGGTGGCTTTTTTGCTCACTCTCCTTCTCTCTGTGTGTCTGTCTTTCTCTGGTCAAATGAAAATGATTGAATGAATAAATAAAATAAAATAAATAATTCTTTAAAAAATAAGATAAAATATAAAGAAATAAAGTCAAATAAAGTAATTCTTTAAAAATAAAAATAATGTTACTAATAAAATTGTATTTGCTTCATATGATATGCCAGGCACTGATCAAAATACTTCACATGTAATAACTCATGTAGTCTGACAAAAACTCTATGGAGTAGATTAATTTACACTGAATATTAGCAAATAATTATGTACCTTTTAACAGAGAAATTTCACCAGAAATTCTAAAGTCAACATATCTACTTGATGAAAGTACAGCAACCCCTTGAAATAAGTTGAAAAAAAATTTATAATGAGAAAAAAATATTCTCACTATATAATGGAGCTCTAGGAGCAACTCTTACCAAAGTTTCTAAATAATTTACCTTACTATGATAACAATTTCTTTGTTTCAATTACTGGTTTGTTTGTTTGTTTGTTTGTTTTGTTTGTTTGTTTTTGGCTTTTGCCATAGGGAATGTCCCTTGCCAGAGAGAGAAAGAGAGAAAGAGAAGAGAAGTGAGAAATCACCACCACCACCCCCCACGGAGTGATAGCCACACTACAATCCTTTCTCCTCCATTCTCCTCTCAGGATTTTAGGCATGCACACACACATGCCCAGTGTGATTTTTCAAGCATCCAGATTCGGGACTCAAACTGTGGTCAGCTATGTGGGAGTCCAGGACCTTTACCACCATGCCACCTACTGGGCCCTGTGTCAATTACGTTTTAAATAATTATTTTCTGCCAAAAATTAGACTAATACATTCCTTTATGGCTTTAATAATCTGAGAGTAAAGCAGTTTTAATTCACTTTAATTTCTCAAACACCTCAGGGAAATAAACATTCTAAACATTCCGGAGCCATCCCTACTTGGGAGACCATAGTATGCACTTTATACAAGTTAACTGACTTAGACCTGACACGGTGCCATTTGCATGCCATGCAGCCTCAACAAACCACTTAATATCTCCGATCCTCACATCCTTCTTCATTAACAGGGATCTGAAGAACCTCACATTCATGTTTATTCAAGAATTATTTCTGGCACACAGACTAACTGCCCTTTGCCATGCCAATATATAAAATAGTAACATTATAAAAATATATTAACAGTTAATACTTACTGAATGATCTTTGTGTAATTTCAGTATGGTCAAGTTTATGTGTATTTGTCTCACAGGTATTTCTTTCCCAATATTTCATAACTAGATTTATGTCAGCTGATGGCCTGACACTGGAAGGAAATAATTCATAATAAAATATTAACCACAGGAATGAATAAACACATTCTAATCATAAGTACATGTCTTAGTTAGGCATAAAACATTTCTACTCCTGTATTTCTACATAGCAATGTTTGTATTTTGTATTTTATCTTCCAATAAAATACCGGACAGCCAGGTGATGACATGAAAGGATGAGAGGCAGAGAGGCTGAGAGGCGAGTTAAACAAAGACTGTTCCCTTAACTGGAAGGTCAGAGAGAAAAACAGTGCAGAAGAAAATTTCCCAGAAACACATACAAACTATCCTTGCCCTGCAGGGAATTACATAGCTAATTAGAAGTAAACCTCAGTGGTGTGCCTCAAAGGCTATTTGTCCAGTGTTCTCCACTATGGTATCCAAAATGCAAAAGAGCCCAGTATTTTGGAGTCTTGTCATATGAATCTTTAAGAAAACTTGAGATTGGCTTGAATCCTTAGAAAAGGTTTCTATCAATGCAATATAGAGTGAGAGTATTACATGCTTACAGGTGTATACATTTATCAGAAAGCAGCACATGGTCTTAAATACTTTTAACATGGACTGTCATGGATTTCAACTTGAACAGCCACAAATTAGGTTGCCAGGAATTGTTCCTAGCCTCTTAAGAGTAATATTAGGCCAGACAGCATACCTATCTTCCCGAACTCATGGAGGGCGATGGCAATCTTGACCTGCCTCTTCCTTCTGTCTCCCTCCCCTGGCATCCCCTCATCTCTCATGATTACCTCTCTCCCACTTCCAACTTTTAGCCCCAATTCTGCCATGTATTTAATAGCTGAAGGACTTTGAGATGTTGCCTATACTGTCAGCCTCAATTTCCTTTAGTACACATTGGGATTCTTTCTGTGGTTTTAAAAATAATATGAATACAACTTCAGTGATTGTATCTATTTAAGAATAATATCCAATACATGTTTATTTCCCGCTTTCCTTCTCGATTCTTTTTACGGTATTTCCCAAACACGAGTTAAAATATCAATACAAGTAAAATTAAATACTCTCTGAAAGATCACAAAAAATTCTATTTATACAGCTCCAGAGGAACCTATTGATTATTTTCTACATAAATAAACTTTTCATTCTAGAATAGTATTAGGATTACAGAGAAGTTTCAGTGAAAGTACAGAGGTCTTGCATACCCTTCCACCCAATTTTTCCTGGGGTTAAAATCTTAGGTTGCCATTTGTCCCAATTAAGAAATCAGTACTGGTATATTACTGTTAACTAAACTCCCTATTTCACTAGTACAGTTCCTAATATCCTTTCTCTGTAATGTCAACATTATATTTAGTTACTTGGTTCCTTCGTCTCCTCTGGCTTATGACAGTTTCTTAGGCTCTTCTTGTTTATTTTGACTTTGACAGTTTTAAAGAATGCCTGTCAGATATTTTGCAGAATGTCCCTCAGTTTGGGCTTGACTGATATTTTTCTTATGATTAGACTGGGGTTAGGGGTGTTGGGAGAGAGACAACAAATGTGAAGTGCTGTTGTCATCACATCCTGCCAAAGGTGCATGTTACGTAAACTGACTTACACTGTTGAGGTTAACCTTGATGACCTGGGCAAGACTGTGTTCGCCGAGTTTACAGCAACTACCATAAGGTTACTTTTTTTTTTTCCTTTTCCCATTCTGTATGCTTTTTATTTGGGGGGGGGGTGAGGTTTTCACCACAGGGTGCGTGCGCTCACCAGACAGACAGAGACATAGAGACAGAAAGCGAGAAATCACCCCCCAGGAGAGATGGTCACGCCGCAATCCCTTCTCCTCCATTCTCCTCTCAGTATCTTGGGCATGCACGCACACGCGCCCGGCATGAGTTTTAAGCCACTGGGTCCGGGACGTGAACCACGGTCGACTACGTGGGAGTCCAGCGACATAGCCATTATGCTAACTGCTGGTTCCCCCTTTCTGTATGCTTTAAAAGCCTGTATTTAGTAGGGAATATGAACATACATTTAATAGGAAATATGAAGGGGAGTGAAGTGCTACTTCCTTGAGCCAGGATAGTTTCTACATAAATTACTTGTAGTTAGAGATTTTCCTTTCTTTTAGGAGAGTTTTGTCATCCAAAGGCAGAGTAATGGTTAATTTCCCCCAAATCACACTAAAATGACCTTCCTCAAAATATGCCATCTCCTTTGAAGAAAAAAAAAAAAGCAGTATTTAGCTACTATCTGGGTTTTCAGGACAGGAATGATGGTACCCTTATAAAGACATTTTAAGATAGGGAATCTACAACAATGAGTTGGTGGTGGGTATTCAAAACACAGAGGGTATTTCAGTCAGGCATTGCAGTTATTTGGTAAAAAATGCATTTAAGAATATAGACATTTCCCCATGTTCCTTTCGGTCTTTGCCCCTCTTCCTTCTCTATCCCTTCCCCTCTCCAGACCTTCTCCTAGTACTTAGATAAGTGATTTTCTGTCACCATGTATTATTTTGTACTTACTAGAACATTAAGCAAACAGAACTTACAATATATGCTCTATTTCATTTGAGTTCTTTCACTTGGTATAATTACTTTTAAACTCAACTATGTTGAATAGGAATGAATACATTCCACGGTGTACCGATTGCTTTATCCATTCTCCTGTTGATAGGCATTAGGGTGACTTCTGAATTTCAGCTGTAAATGCAGATAAAAGCACGAAGTGTCTGGCCCAGCAGGTGGTGTGGTGGTTAAGGTGCTGGACTCCCACATGGCCAACCGTGGTCTAAGTCCCAGACCTGGTGGCTTGCTTTCTCACGTTCCCTCTCTCTCTTGTTCTCTCTCTCTGTTTCTCAGTCTCTCTCTCACTCATAGAAGAAATAATTTAGAAGGAGAATACCTTTTTCCAGAAAATAATTATTCAGATAAACTAAGGTGCAAAAGATGAGAGCGGTCTAGAAGGAGGAAGATCCCTCTTTTGACTCATTAACAGTAGACCTTCATTTTTCCCAAAACATTTAGAACTCTTTCCTTGTTTTAGACTATTTGCTTTCTCTTTCATCCAGTGGCATTTAAATTAAATGTCTTTAATATAAAACACAAGAACTTTGTCAAGTCCACTAAAGAGTTTCATCCAGAGGGAAAGTAAGCAGAGAGGAGAGGAGAGTGTCCTGAGAATCACAGCAAATTGCACTCATTAGATTGCTGTCTGCACAATCCAGCTGGACCAGGAAAGCTCGGGGCCAAGGACAGCTCTATGCACATCCAGACTGTAGACTAGCTTCATATTCAAGGACCCACGACCTATTGTCATAGATGCCTGATGTTTGCAGAGGTTACTCTGAAAATGAACAGGGAACCGGCAGGAGGCAAATATTCCTAACAGAAGAAATTACAGACAAATATAAAGATGCTGAAGAATGTATTAAAAGACTTAAATGGGCCAGTAGGTGGCGTGGTAGTTAAGGCAGCGGGACTGCCATATAGCTGACCACAGTTTGAGTCCCAGATCTGGCAACTTGCTTTCTCACTTTCTCTCTCTCTCTCTCTCTCTCTCTCTCTCTGGTCAACTTTAAAGATAATAATAAAAATAAAATGAAATAATGATGATGAATAAAATTTTAAATAAAGAATTGGGGCCAGCATGTGGTGTGGTGGTTAAGGGTGCTGGATCCCCACATGGCCGACCACAGTTCAAGTTCCGGACCTGGCAGCTTGCCTTCTCACTTTTCTCACTTTCCCTTTCCCTTTCTTTCTCTCTCTTCTCTCCTCTCTGCCCGCCCCCTCACTCTATCTCTCTCTGGTCAAATTAAAATAAATAAAGTTAAATAAAAATAATTCATAATCAAGAAAGGAAATCATGAAATACTTTAAAACCCTTCACAGGAATGCGTATGTGGTGATGCAGGAAGGGGACCACTGTGATCTCCGCAGCCTTGGTATAATTCTATGAGAGAGAAAGGCTGACTGATCTCCCTCAGCTCCGCCATGGAGGGAGGTGTAATGACTGTGATAAGTACTCTAGTACCCTAGAGGGTGTGAAAGGGAAGTGGAAGTGCCTAGACTAGTGGCTTACACAGAGCAGGGACCTGACAAAACATGGATGACTTGAGTGGAGACCAGTCACTTTTCAGTAGTTCACATGAGGCTTGTTGGACAGGCTGCACAGAGCAGGGGTGCAGCACTGACTCTGCAGCCAACACGCCCGCCCAGGGCTCCCTAGTTCACCTCCCGCAGGCTGCTCAACCTTGGGCACCCACTTAACTTCTTTCTGCCTTGATTTTCCCAACTATGAAATGGAGTTGATAATAGTAGCTCTATCTTTTCTATGCAAATATTTATTTTTTATTATAGTTTTATACTTACTGTGTTAGTTGTCCAAGTTCAAGTGACACAGTCAGACTATTCAAAATGTGTCTACTTGGTGCCATGATCAGGTTGGGGCACCAAACAGTCATCATTTCAAACATCTGTCACTAGTTTGCCTTATACCTTTTTAAACTCCACATTTCTTTTTGTTTGTTTATCCACTTATTGATTTATTTAATATTTAATTACTGTACTTCTTCACGCACACAAACTACATTTCCCCAGTATGAATATACTGTATATTAGTCCAAAGATATTATCATACACATTATCACCAACAGATCACTTTCCATTTGTATGTCCATTAAATGTTTTGCTTTTCATATTTCCCAGGAAAAATTATCATAGTGATAATTAAATAAGTTAAACACATAAAGACCTTAACACAGTGCCTGGAATATGCTAAAAGCTCAATAAGTACTGGTTACTAAGACGTAAGCGAAAATAAGACTATATTTTAATTCAAAGCTGGGAATTTTAACATCCTCCTACAGCCAGTTATAATACTCTTAGAAACTATGAAAATAATCAGAAAAAAGTAAGATATGTTACTCTGCAAAATAGTAATTTGCTTCCCTAATACTTCTAAGATTAAGTTTCGAAAATGAGTAACTTTCATTTGCTTTCTTTGTAATAATACATGGGTACAAGACAATCATTGCCACTGATTGTTGGCAAAATCAGATTGTCAATCCTCCAAATGTTTTATGTCCTATAATGTCTAATTTAAATTGAGAGTTTAAGGTTTTGTGTACCTCTTTGTAGAGCTGTCTAACTATTTTCTAATTTAATTTCTCACATGAAATCTACTGGCAGAATAATTAGGTAATCAACATCACATAAATAAGATGTAAGTCCCCGCCTCACAACAGGGTGGAATTTAGAACATCATAATCATTCTACATGTGAAGAAACATTCATTTGAGGTATGCCTTCTACTTTACATAAACTTAATGCAAAGTTAACAGAAATTTTTGTTTCATTTCTCATGTGATTCTTTGTCCTGGTTTATAAAAAAGAACCCCCCCCCTTATAAGTAATTGTTTAACGGTGGCCAAAGGGAAACATGGCAGGTAACAAAAGGAGGAATAGACTGGCTCTTTTGTCCTAGAAGAGGGATGAAGATCTACGAGTGAGATTACAAATGACTTAACAGTAGAGACATTCTATTGTAGAAGGGTGGCTTAATAACAGAGAAGGCTACCCGAGATGGTGAATTATTCAAAAAGAGGCTGAAATGTGCTTCTTTTAAAGATGCCACCGGAGTTAATCTAGTAAATTTCTAATATCCCTTTTAACTTCATTATTGAATAATTAATGGCTAATGAACATGTGAAAAAAAAAGGCCACTTCCAGAAATCATCACAAAAGCCCATTTAAAACACTAGTAAAATAGCATGGCCGTGGCTGTAAGACAACAGTAACATCCACTCTTTGATTTAGAGGCTGGAGACTGGAGAGCCTCCATGTTGACAGACTTCTGGGGAGAGCCCACAATTCCAGACAGCAACTAAGCAAAGTGGCCCAAAGGCCTTTAAATTTTTGGCTCAGCAGTTCCACTTCAAAGACAATATTCTAATAGTGGATTTATCTGTGTATTCTAGTGTGCGTACATGACTATATTTAAAGAAATGTTTTCCCAGTTAAAATTCATAAATAGTTGACATGTATGGAAAGTAGAAAATAGTTTTTGAACAATTCCATAAGTTCCCAAGGAGTGGGTACAAATCTTGATGTTCATAGATACGCATATTAATTATATGGAAATGTGATAACTATATTTTTTTGAGTGAAAAAACAGACTTTACACTCTGAATACTAAGCCCCCATTGTATAAAGTGTACATTTGTTTGTTTTTGCGAGTTTGTATAGAACAAGGACTGGTGAGTGAGGTATCTAAATGTTAGCGACGATTTTCCTATAGGTGATTTCTTTTGATCTTTTTCTGACTTATTTTTCCTTCAGAATATTATCATAATAAACAATATATTCTTTTTATAGTGAAGAAGTATTTATGGTTACTCTAAATGATTAATAGTTTCTATAATTTTTCTAGATGACAATAATTTTGTGAGTCCAGCAACAAAATAGTGCTATAAATTAAGAAAAACGCATTCCCATTGTATGTTTTTTCTTCCCATGTTCTTCCTTCATTTATTTCTTCATTATTTTTTTTCTATGGTAGTATGACTTTTCAGAATCTAAGGAAAGGAAAAATTAATTTCTCTCTATCAATATTAACTTATCATTAGGATTTCCTGTTAGTCTCTTAAATTCTATATTTATCTTACTCTCCATAGGGCTTATGTTGAAGATAATTATTTACTGCCTGCCTTTTTCTTGAAAAATATAAAATCATATCATACTTTAAACGCTATGGAAGTCAGGTATTTGTGTATAAGTCAGAAGAAAATATACACCGAAGTTTGTATTCTGGAAAGATAACCGTAATTGTTAAGATAACAATATTTTTAGCCTCTCTAGAAGTCTGTCAGGTGTTTATTCTTCTCACATATTTTCGCATAGGGGCCAATAATGACATCATGCTCTCCTTGAGTTTACTAATCTGACTGAGCAAAGGGAACAGTATGTTCTTAGGGAGACAGCCTTCCATAATCTCTCCAGTACTGGACTGAAAGCACAAAGGAGCTTTTACAGCTACAGCTTGATCACACTGGTGTGTTTCCCACATAGGATTCCTCCTCACACTCCTGAGAGGGAACAGGGATGTCCCTGACAAATCAGTTCTAAGGATACATTCTTCCATGTTCAATTACCTCAGTAATTTCTAAATGGCATTATTCTGTACTCTCTCATTACTACGAAGTCTTACAGTTCTTCCAATATAGTCTTCTGAATTAGATAAAAGCAGAAATTTTAAAGATTGTAAGTACATTACGACGCATCATTTTGTCATTTGCAAAAATGCTGCATGGTAGAGATCACTTTGCTTCTCACTCCAGGAAATCTCCCAGAGCCTATGGAGATAGAGCACCAGTATGAAAGATCGCTCTGCTGGATTCTTATGTCATATTGTAGAGAACAGAGCTCCAGTTTGATGAGAAATCTATGCATTTAAAAACCTACATCTCAGCACTAATTTTCATAAATACAACATGCTGAGAAACAATAGAAAATGAAATAAAATGAGATAGAAAGGAAAAAAAAGTGAACAGTTCAAATGGCAAGGTTTTGAATGTAAGGCTGATCAAAAAGCATGTTTAAGAGAATAACTGGGGTTGTCATAAGGAGTGGGAAATCACTACGTTGGCTGAAATATTCTTAAAAGAAATGTGCAGCATTTGCTTTTCCTTCTTTAGGCCTGTAAAGAGACAATGATTGTCTACTGGAGGTGACTTCGTACCATGATCTGTAAAATTAAGCTGGGTGGGGGCATTTTATCCTACATGATGTCTTTCCATTCCCCAAATCTACTATTTTACAGGGTGGGTCATGCCATATTCCTAAATGGAAAACATCCTTCTGCCTGAAAGTAAAATACCACTTGACATTTCGGCAAGAAATGTTCGAAGAAATAGAAGAACAAATATCAGAGTGTAATTTAGCGTAACAGGAGGTTTAAAGGGAAATTCTTCATGTTCTATTTCCCTGTCAAAAGAGTTCCAAAAAGTCTAAAATCAAAATCATTAATTAAGAGGTTAAAGAGTATCCCCCTAGCTTCCTAGGCTCACATTGCCAAGGTAGTTCAAAAACTGATTTTGTGATCCTTAGACCAAACACCACTAGGGTGTGAATTACCATAGGCTGCCGACGCCACTGCAGAGGACTGTCAGTGAACTACAGGTGTGCAGTTCTTTGAGTCTCACTTCCATGGGAGGGAAGAAAAGCTCCCCAACCTCTGAATTTCTATAATTCTACCCTCCATTCCCATAGACCAGGCAAAGAGCTTAACATATGTCCCCTGGGGTAAACCAGAGAGGAACATAATGCACCAGATCTCATTGATACCTGAAAACATCTACTGCCAGAAGCTGTGGCTTGACCTGCCCAACTGGAAAGGAGTGGGGTGGCATCAGTGAAGCGGCTGATGTTGCAAGGATGCGAGTTTCCTCCAGGGCAAACAGAATCTAACCCAGGAGGAGTCGCAGAACGGGGGAGGCCTGGCAGTGTGAGGGACTGGAACAGGGTCACACTGTGATTGTATTATTACTGCACCATGAGTAGGTGGGGGCAAGCCCCAAGGCTATAACCAAAAAGTGCTTTCATTTGGAAATCCACTATGCAGAAATAAGAATTGAGATCATCAAAGAACACTCAGCTGTACCCCCAGAAAAACGAGTACGGTTTGCAGTATCTGCTGCCTGCAGAGCAGCAATGCCAGCTTTTCCTTTCTCCATCCCCACTTCATATCCTCAATGAATGGGAAATCGTAACTAGTGAGGGGAAGGGGAGGAAGAAGTTCTTTGTACGGTGTTCCACCTGTTCACTATAAAGAGCCACAATTGCATCAAATTGGAGCATACTGGGAATTTTGTAGACCTATTTTCTGAGTAAGCCTTAATTCTTTCCTGGAATAGATAATAGGTCAAAATGTTTTTATTATTCTTAAAGTAGTGAGCTTAAATACGTATATATACAAGAATTTTGCTTCATAATTACATGGAAGAAATGCATCTTTTTACAAATGCTTAACAGTTCTTTACTAAATTAATAATTAACAACTTTCCTAAAAATAAAGTATCAGACCCGAGTAGTTTCACAGTGAATTCTGCCAAACATTTATAGAATAAATAACACTCATTCACTAAAATCTGTCCTAAAACAGAAGCAGGAGAGTGCTGTAACTTATTCTATGAGGCCAGTATTGTTCTCATTAAAATATTTTAAAAAGGTATTTTTAAGAAAGCTAATCTACAAACCAATATCTCTAATAAATATAGATATAAAAGCTGAAACAAAATGTCAGCAAATCAAACCCAACATGTATAAACAAATATACCATAATTAATTGGGGTTTATTCCAGTATGCCAGATTTGCTAAACATTAAAATCGGTTAATACAGAGTACTACATCAATACACTAAAGCATAGAAATCCTAAGATTAGACAAGTCAGTGCAGAAAAAGTGGACACCTGACATTACGCTTTCTGTCAAAATCCACACAACTGTACATGTACAATATGCTTGGATGTAAACCATGGAGTTTGGCTCATAGTAAAGTATTAATATTGGCTAACACACGTGCCACACAAATGCAAGATACGGTGTAGGGTTGGGACTGGGGGTTATTTAAGAATTCTATACTTTCTGCATAATTCTTCCACAAACCTCAGAGAAGGAATATATACACATAGTAAAAAAATATTTTTTTTATTGTATCAAAGAAAATAAAACAAACACAATCATCCTCTCAAACTAATATAGTTATTCTCTGTGGAATGTAAAATTAAGTTTAGTAAGATAATAGGTTTAATTTTAGTAAGAAAATTAGGTTTAATTAAGTATGGAAACAACAACAACAAAAAATTAAACCACCAGGCTGCAGAGTAGATGAAATGTAAAAGCAGGATGAAGCAAAATGATTCAAGAAGAGTCTGCAGAAAATGGAAAGGCTAGATGTCTAAAGCAGAGTGACATCTGACATTCAAAGGGACTCTAAATTTCGTTCACATAAACCGCTGTGGGTTACCAAAATTAGGATGGATAGATGGATAGATATTAAATTGACTGTTATGTAGGCACATGCATGCATCGTTTTTTGAGGGAAGGGGTTAATTTCCACAATTAAGATAGGGATAGAATAAAAATAAAAGACTAGACGACACCAAATAGAAATCAAGAATTCAATGCAGGCAAGAAATGACCACCAGATATGACCATGATAACATAGTCCCCTACTTACACGCATACACACACACCCCTCCCCATCTCCAAAACTTCAGAGAAATTTTGAGGTAGTCCAGTCATTGTACATTCCACAGATCACAGAAACAAATCCAGACCAATATTATATCTAAGTCTTATCGAGATGCCAGTTGACATCTGGGTAATGCTTAAAATTACTTACTTGCATGTCGAGGTGTCTTTGTTTTTCTTACTGAGTAGAGAATGTTCTGTTGAAACTAAATATGATTCTTTCTTAGCAGGTAAAGGGATTACTCTCACACTTTCCTCTTGGACCTTATTTTCCATTAAATTAGTATCTCTTTTAGGGAAGGAAAGACCGTTTTCAATATGCCAATGCTTTGCCTGGAAAAAAAAAATAGATCTACTTTATTTTTATGAAGTTTATTTTCATCACACATTTATGTATGTCTACCCTGTGTTAAATTACTAGTTGAAGTCCTGGGGACACACACACATACACACACACTCATGCACACACAAATGAGTAAGACATAGTTCGTGTCTACAAGGAGTTTGAAGTCTCAGAGAAGATGAAACACATCATCAACCTTTAATAAGAGGAAATTAAAAGTACTGTAAGAAAGAAATAAAAGTTTTCTGAAGAGATAATGATAAACTCAAAAAAAACTGTGCCATTCCATTTAAAAATCCTTTATAGAAAAATCTATATTCACCAAAAACAAAAACAAAGCTTTTGTTGAAGTATTGCCAGATTTATTTTTTCCTATGACTACTTTCTCTGCATCTTTTATCCAAAAAACATATCTTCAAAAGCCAATTCAATTTCTGAGTATTTCTTCCCAGAAGATGTATTTGTTACATGATAGTTTTTTATATAATTTTGGTTATAATTTTTAATATGCATCCCTCTGGCAAAAGCTCCCTATTGACAATCTATTTCATATTTTAAATACAATCCCAGTTTCCTTGTCTCATATCAATTCGCATAATACACAAAGGAATGTACTAGAAAACCCAACCTGTGAGACCCAAGAGAAACATTAGGGACCCTGTGGACAGCTGACTGGCCTACACACCAATCGGCCTTGTCATAAGGGCGTGCCAAGTAAAATGTCTTCCAGGACCAGACAGAGAGTGTGACTAGATACACCCAGCCTCATAAGAAATAGTAAATGAATAATAAACAGCAAACGG